GAAATTTTAGTTGAAACTTCTCCCCCAAAAGTTGAGAAAGACATTTTTCTCCATGTCATTTTCTTTTTGAAAGTAGATTTTCCAAAAGAGAATGGTGCTTTTGCTTTTCTTTTTAAAATTTTAATCTAAGTTATCAAAGTTATTTAATACAAATCAAAGGAAAGACAATACATACAAATGGCATGTTATCATAAAAAATTTACTATGACTGATACTAATTTTATGTAACCTGTGGAGAAAGAGGAAAAATAATTTCTTTGCTTGCTTTGAACTGATGAAATTCCAGTATTCCTTTCAGAAAGATGTGTATGGCTTATAAATAAATTGTTATATTGTTGTTCTGATCATCTCATGGGCTCCTTCAGACCATACTGTCCATGTCGTCTATGCTTTCTTATCTGAGTTTATGTACAGCTGTACAAGGTATTCAACAATCATAGCTAAGTTACTCCATCTGAATTATACCTAAAAACATTGTGTCATGTCAGAAAAGGACCTGAAGTAATTATAAACTATTTCAGCTTCTATCAATGACTTGAGTCTCAACCGTAATAATGAATCCATTCTTTTTCAAAATCAATTATTGTATTATTAAACACCATGGACAAAGAAAGCCTGGTTTGCTCATTATTCGGATTTTTACAAACATATCACACAAATCATGTTCAGTTAATTTCAATGAATAGGCAAAATTCTCTTTTGTTCTGGAGGTATGAGATTTTTGAAGGATTATCCAGGTAAATTAACTTTTGTGGGTTTTTTCAGTATCCTAAAAACTCTCAGAATAGACCCTTGAAGAATAAAATAGATCACATAGCTCATGTGGCTGACACCTAAGGTCATTAGATATATGGATGCATTTGGTTAAGGAAGAAGCTAGAAAGATAGAGCTGCCATATATGAATGCAAAGGAAACGTCATTCAAAGGGAACAGAGAAAAGTTTTCAGTGGACTCAGAAGTTTCTGATTTATAAAATTAAGAGGTTTAAAAATTATTTCAAGGGATAATTTTAAGGTCCAGTGAAATTGGTTAGAAAAGGAAATAGATGTTTGTAATTTTTGAATCAAATATAACACCTCTCGATAAATAAAGTTTAGGTTATTTTTTTTTTTGTTGTTAAATAACTCAGCTTCTACGTGAATAGTATGTGCTGATCATTAAACAATGTCTTTACGTTTTTGAATGTATTTTATTTCAGTGCTATATTAGATGCTCAAATATGGTTTGACAGAACTGTGAAACCAATATTATTTTAAATCTTTTCTCCACAACATTTCAGGTACTTGCAGAACATTTTGGGGTTTGATATGTAGACTGAGGACCACAGTTAGGTTTACCTTCAATATTGGTTGGTTTTGTTCTAAGCTAAGGTTTAACGAATCTCACAGAGATTTTAAAGAGCGAATATTTGTTCTCGATCTCAATGCTGAGAAGGCATTTTTAGTTTTATTATTTCATCTCAGCTTCGGATGTATTTATTACGTCATCAATATATTTTAGTTACCCAAACTTTCCAAACACATTGTCCTCACTTCAGGGAGTGTACTAGGACTGAATATAATCAGAAATACAGTGTGTTGGACTTTGGAAATAAAAAGCTGGTTCTTCATGGGGTTCTCAACAATAAGACTTGGAAGTAATTAAATGGTAATTGGCTTCCTTTACCCACAGTTAAGAATGTATCTAAAGGAGGAGCTCGAGAGAAAACTATACTTCTGTTTTCTAATCGATACATGTTTTAGAATAGGGCTAAAAAATAAAATGATAAAAACAATACTATTTCATGGATTAAACCCTGAGGAAAAATTATTAATTTACTATGTACTCAGAATTACACTATGCAAATATATCCAGAAATAAACAATACACAAATTTTGCTTTTCAATATCTAAATGATGCCACTCAATATTCTGCTAATACTTTTAGCAGAAAGAAACAGAAAAAGAAGCCTTTAAAACAGTCTGCATCAGAATCTATTTTCTAGTTATTGTCCTGCATATCGATGAACAAATATAGACATATCGAAAGCTACACTTTATTGGGCTGGGAAAAAAGCACATATGATCCTTTTCTAGTCTTTCTCTTGTTTTCCTTAGACATAAAAATTAGTTGCTAAATGAATGACAAACATCCTTGAAATTTCTATTATGATGTTAGAGCAAAACCAAAAGCAAGTTCAGTTCTCTCTATTTTTCTTCTTTATTTCTTGGGTTGCTAGCATTCTTTGCTGGCTTCTTTGGCTAAAAAGCTACCTAGGTAGATTCAGCCCTGAGAGCCTGTAGTACTTCAAGCCCTCTTGCTCAAAGTGTGTAGCTCCTTGGGCTTTGCATTCTCTTTCACAAGCCAGAGGACAGCAGGTGAGAGAGACCAGATAGTAATGTAGAGACAGGAAGAAGAAGGAATCTGGGGCTGAAGACATGATTAAAGTTTGTAGGTCTAGGAGACAACACATTTCAGAGAATGATAAAACAACTTGATTGTAAGATCTTGGTTCATAAAATGTAACTTAGAAGATCTATGCAAGAGATAAAAGCCTGAATCAATAATCCTTTCAGGTTACCTCCCCTTTTCTCTCTACACTTCTATTTACTTTTCTTTTTACAGTAGCCTGTTTAAATGTGCTTGAAAACTCAAAAATTGAAGTATCTTAATGCTCGACATTTCTGCTCTTTTGTTTAAGGTCTGTAAATCCACATGCCAGAATCTTCATATTGTTATTCTTTCATTGCTCATAGTCAATAATTTTTATATAAGAATAGTTGCCCCATATTTTGCTATCAGCTAATGCCAAAATTAGATGACCAAAAAAACATCATGCAGAAAAGACTCAAGCTTTAATATAATATTTGAAAACAAGGCAATCATAGCAGGGTTTTTTTTGCAAAGAATTATGAGATTTTATGCTTTATTTCTTTCTGAAAATGACTTTATTATTGACAACAGCCCTGACATTTAACCTTGATGAGAAGACAGAGAAAAGGTACAAGAGATTTATGATCTTCTGTTGGTCTTCATGGGCAGGGAAGATGGTTACCCCTACCAAGTAGAGGCAGGTGGCTACCAGTATTCTTATAATGGACCATGAACAGGGAATGGATGTCCTTTTTGGTTAAAGTAGATAATATTTTGAGGAGAAAGGTCAATGATTAGAATCACCAGTTTATAATCTCCTTCCTCGTTACCCAACCCGTCTTATTTTCTTTTCTTTTGGGAACATCACTCACTCTATACTTCAAGAATAAACATTTCAAAGACCATTTCAAGTAAGTGCAAGAATAAGAAAATCTTAGCCTAAAGGGTCCCAAGGATTCTTTCTGAACCAAACAATGGCTTCTTATTTTCTTGTTCCTCAGTTCACTTTCCCACTCCAAGCCTTTTAAGCATCTTTCTTTCTGTTCCAGTTTTTAAAATGTGTTTATCTCTGAATGATCATAGGGAAACATCTTTAATTGTGGAAGAGTAGAAACCAATAGGACTTATAAGAAAATATATAAATGATAGGAAAACAATTGATCATAAAGGGTACGATCAGGGATGAAGTATAGGGAAAACCAGTGTAGTGCACCAGAGTGATCTTTATCTACTGGTACCCACCTTGGATCCACAGCTGAGACAAACAGGATCCCTGTCCATGAGTTTCCCAAAGGTAACCCTGGGCTCTGATTTGGTATAGGCAGGGACAAGGCTGTTGTGACATAGGAAAGAGAGCTTCTCCCTTACATAGTAGTGCCAACTTCTACTATAGACCCTTTCAGAATGCTTGGCATTGACTGGCAGCATAGGCAGCTTGGATCTTTCTGTGAGAGCAAAGATAAAGTAGCTTCTCAGAGCAGAATTTCCACTCCAGGGAATGTGGAATCCCCTGGGTCGAAACATTAAAGGAAAATTGCCTGTGACCTGTCAGTTGGTGATCTGCTGGGGAGCCTGTTTCATCTATATTGCTAATTAAAGCCCAAATTAAACCCACTCAAATATTCACATGAGAAGCCCCACAAGAATGAGTTTACAAATTCCATCAGCTCAAGGAGCCTCACGTGTAAATTCCTAACTCAAACTCCTGACCCTTTTTATAGTCACTTTCTTTTAAGAGTCCTGGTGAAGAGGTTATGCAGGCTTTAATGCATAGAAAGCAATTTGCTTGTATTATTAATTTCCCACTTAGTGAATTGCATAAAGGAAATCAGAATCTATCCTGTTGAATTACTGTGTTGTTATATGGGGATGGTGACAAAATTTGAAGTGGGAGGATTCATTGAAGACCAAATTTCTTATTCTGAAAACAGGAAGTGGGGACATTGGAAAAGTTGCAACTTTGTGGCCAAGGTGATAAGTTTGGCTGCAGAAAAGTTGATTTAAGCTACCAGGGGAGTAGGCAATGAAATCTAGAGTCCAACAACACGGTGAAAATTGAAGATAAAAAAGTGATGGTCATGAATATTAAGAAGACAGTTGAAGCATGGTAGTAAATTAGATCAGTGTGAGAAGTACCAGGTGAGAAGAGGAGCTGACATGGTCCTGTGGCTGCAACCATGCATGGATACTGAGAAACTCATTGGCTATTGTGAGCTGGTCATTTGCTGGCTCACTCATTTTTCCCATTCATAGTATGGGGCATGGCAATCTCCTTAGAGCATGTAGATTTACCAGTAGGAGCCTTCCATAGAATGACTCTTTAAACTGCTTGGTGTCTTTCCATCTATCACAGGCCAAAATATGTTCCCGAGGAATTAAAAGTCTTTACACAATAATACAGAAGACAACAAGTAAAGGGTGGAATCTCTTTTTACCACTCTCTCAGCCTTATGCAAGGTTTATTTATAATGAACAAGATAGAAAAGCTGAGAGTCCCCGGTGTCATCCTGCCAAGAATCCATTTGGCCTATCTCAATACACTGAATGCCTTTACTTCAAAATTCTCTGCCTACCCTCTTTTATACTCCCCTAGTGAGCCCACATGTGGGTAGCAGAAGTTGAAAGGTAGGTTTCTAGGAAAACTCACCCTGGGGTCTCTCTCCAGCTGCTGTCTGTGGTGTAGGCTGCGTCTTCTCTTGGCCTTTGCAAGGCCATCATGATAAAAGTGGTACAGGCCTTCAGTGAAGGGGAGCTGTAAAGAGTTAAACAAACATATGACATGGTTAGCTTCTGGGGGTGACCCCAAAACAGGGAAACCAAAGCTAGAGCTGCGTGTTGAGGCTCCATAGAATGAAGATGTATGTGAAAAAACCACTGACAACCTTCTATCAAATTTGGTCTTCTGTTTCCCTATCATTGTACTCCTTTCTTTTCCTCCTTTTTTTCTTTATATAGTGCACATTTCCCTTCCCCTCCCCAAATACCTTCTATTCTTTCCTCTATCTCTTTAGTTTCCATCCATCTTTCAATCTTCTCCTCCATGGAGCATTGCCTTTATATTCATTCCCACACCAAGTTTTCTATTCTCCTTAGTCTAGTGTTTACATATCATGTTGGGTTGCTTCAGAATTGTGTTTTCTAGTCTTGTCTTCACAGATGGACTGTCTGTCCTATGTCTTGGGCTTTCTCTGTGACCCCTCAATACCTTTAATCATTCTATTTGACCTCTCAATCCTTCTCATCATTCTGGGCAAAGTGAAACTATCTAAATCTAATAAGTACCTATTGGATGACAGGCCAGGTTTTCCTAAAGACTCTTGGAATTTGGTACGAGTATCAGAGTTAGTTAGAGAAGCCACAACAGTGAGAGCTTGTCTGGGACCCAGGGCCTATAAGAATCTAAGAGAACCTAAAGAGTACTCTTACTGGTTCTATGATTCAAGGAAACTTGGTGCGGGGAGTCTTGACCTGGGAGTGAGGAGACCTGGATGTGGCTCATGTCTGTCAAAATCTAATCTTATGTAAGTAATTTCCCCTCAGGAGATCTTTTTCTCTTCTGTGTATAGATGGAACTTCAAAGTTCCCATATTTCTACCCTTTCTCCACATGTCTTCATTTTTATGACAATATGTTGTTTTCAATTTTTAACCCGATCAATAAATGTAAATAAATCCTTGAAAATTATAGCCAAAATTTATGTACATACGTGCATTTTTCTCAATTTTCATCAGATTTTCAAAGAGGTCTTGAACCAAAAAGCATTTCACTATTTAAAGTATTTGCTATTGAAGCTTTTAGGTATATGTGTTACTACCTATGGTCTGGAAGATAAAAGAAGGGAATGTGGATGCTTTGGAACTAAGGTTTTGCCAAAGTAGGTGGGATTGATTTGAGATTTTTAGGTCAGGTATGCCCCAATATACACAGAGACCCTTGGCAAAGGGTAAAATAATTCTTATTGATTCAAAGTCTTTAAGGAAATCATAGTTCGGTTACTAGCTGATCTCTAAGCAACTAGCAGAGATGCAGTGGAACATTATAGGGATTAAAGACTTTACAGAAATAGCCCAGAAAAGTCACTAAAAACCCAAAAAAACCTAGACACACACACACAACCTGGAGGGAGAGTAATTTCCATTTCCAGAGTTGCCACATTGTATTATTTTAAATTCCCAGTTTTCAGAAAAAAAAAATATGAGATACACAAAGAAACAGAAAACTATACCTATATACATAGGGGAAAAAAGCAGTCAATACAAACTTTCTGAGGAAGCTCAGATGTTGGACTTAATAGACAAAGAATTTAAATCAGCTATTATAACTATACTCAAATAACTAAAAAAACACGTCTAAAGAATTAAGAGAAAGTACTAAAACGGTATCTTGCAAATAGAAATTGTTAACAAAAAGATATCTTAAAAGAACCAAATAGAAGTTTTAGAACTAAAAATAAATAACTGAAATAAATTTTTTAATAGTGGGTTCCACTAACAAACTTTAAAATTGTTTTTTATTAGTTTCAAGTATATAGTACATTGGTTAAACATCTATATAGTTAGTAAAATGATCCTCCAATTGCCCCCTCCCTCCCCTGACCTAGCCAATGTATTAATGCTAACTGCATTCCCTATGGCGTGCTCCCTATCCCCGTCACCATCCACCAGCTACTAATTTTTACTTCTTTAACCCTTCCCTTCATTCTCCCCAGCTTCCAAACCCCCTCCCCTCCGTCTGTCCCC